GAGATGCAGGTTTGTATTTTTCTTAGTGTAATATAGATTCAGCATATATTGCTATTGTTTTTGAAGAGATTTTAGTTTTTGTTGAAATACATACTTGTCGCTTTTCTAGTATAGGATTGACAAATAATCATTCGGTCAGTGTATTCAGCCACATTATTTGATTAAGCACTATAGTTTCCTTCTCTATTAATAGTTTTGTAGGTTTTTTCTGCTAATTATAAGACCACAAATAAGATAATGTGTTGTCCATTTTCCACTCTATTGAATGTGAAGTTAAAACAGATAGCTATTTCACATCTACTGTAATCACTTAGACTGACAACTGTCAGTGTAGGAATAGCTTAACCTGCTACAGCAGGTTTCACTAGATGCTCTATATAAAGCATCAAGTGTCAGTTTGTAACTAACTTTTAATATCAAGTAAATTCTGTTATAACAGAAATGAAAACCCCCACTCTACAATCTAATACACTCTTTCCCCATCCTACCAATATAGTGAATTGATTTGATGAAAAGTTGGTTTAGTTTTAGTTGCACTATCTATTGTAAGAAGTGTTTGCTCTCCCCAACTCATGAATGATTTAGAATGTCTTTCAAAGGGTAACTTAAACTCCATGAAACACTATTTTGCTGAAAATAATTGGGTTATGTGTCTGCTGTCTAGAATGGTTTTGGTTTATTAGGTTGGGGGCAAATACACTTTTCAATTATCTTTGGTGTTCAACTCATGCTTTATAAGGGATCGAAAAGTGTTTTATCTAGACACTGCCTTTGGTATTCAGGTCTTAGTGTACCTAGTGTCACCATTGGAAGACTGTTGACCAGATTTTGAGTTTTATAGCAGCAAACTCTGTAGACTTGAGTTCTATGGCATCTATTACCTTCGGTTTTGTCTACTTGTAATTGTCTCGACATTATCCCACTCTTTCACAAACTCCTGCGACTCTCAAAAACCATAATTTAACTTGTTTTTTCTTTTGGATTTCCGCCTAGGTTGCACCTTTATCCGTTAGTTTAACTGGTTGATATTAAATATCTGGCAGTTTATTCAATCTTTTTCAAAGGTGCTGAAAACTTGATTTTAAAATCCAAATTACTGTTAGGGAAGCTCTAAACTCACATGCTGAGTTGTGTAATACCACTGCCTTGCAATTGGGACTTTCAATAAATGTGTTAGTGGTTATTAATGCCCAGCAACTAAAATAAGGTTACTTTTGCATTGAACTGTTTGTTACATTATCAAGTATGATCTATGAAGCACGGAAACCCCGGAAACTACCCCGACACTGACATGGCGACATCAATAATAATTTGAAAAAATGAATGAATTAAATGTAATAACAAGTGTCGTGTAGTATACACACTGAATTAGTGTTGTATGTTGAATGTTGTTCACTTATTTTAGTGCTTTATGCTTATTTGCAGGCAATTTGTGCAGATAAGCATGTGCAATATATGCCTCCAAGACGTTAGTGGAACAAGTAAATATTGGCTTTGTGATATCTCTAACATGGTTGGTACCGAATATTTACTGATGTGGACTTTAATGCTAGTTGTTCAAATGCTTTCTTGGAATGCCTTGTTAAAATTCTCTAAACAGAAATTAATTAGTTTGTACATGAGAATAGCTCATGAAACTAACATAAAATAACTTCTTTTGACTGATAGTTGTTGTTGGCCAAAGCAGTTTATCAAACTACTATCTTGCAAGCGAATTGCCAAATTGCATTCTTTCGGCTGTTTTGGGTAAATATGGTTAGCGCCGATTAGTTTTATTTATTTAGATGCAATACTAGCAGCGAGGTTTGAACTAATAATCATGCGTGTGCTCTAATTTTGGCGCTATCGCATTTTAATTATAATCACAGTTTTCGGTTAGGCTAAATTTACCGTAAGAAATAAGTTTTATCAATAATTTGCTTATAACTTGTAGCCGATATTGAAATTGAAGTGGGTTGGTAGAGAAAATCAGCAAAGATGTGAGATATGGCATTATATCAATTGAAAAGAATGTAGCAGGGTTAATATCATAGCACATGCAAGATAACAAAAGTAATCATAATGTAATCGTAATATCTTGGAGTCATATGTAGGATTTTTTTTTTGTTTTTTTTTTGTAAGGGATTGTTTACCGGGAACACTTCGGAGAGTGGCATGTAACGCACCACTAACTAACTGAATGCTATTGAGAGCTTGACCATGGCTAACAGTCCGTTATAAATTATGAGTTTTAAAAACTAAAGTAATTACTTAATATGAATATAAATGGAGAAAACTTGGATATAATTTTTTGTGTGGTTTTGACTATTTTCTAATGAAAATATGAAGTGTACTTAAATATTCATTAACGAGTGAAAATAAGAGGAAATTGTATACGTGTATGAGGAAATTATACAGTTGATCGTACTTGATCGGAATGAATCGTTGATGACCCACAAGTAATGAAAAGTGTGAAGAATAATGTACATGACCCTCTAGTGAAAGAGGGTATTTATAATCTCCAGCGTTGGGTCAAGACCTTCATTATGGGCTGAGGATCCAGGTCCACAACGAACGGCTGCCAGGACTCACACGTGTGAAGTGGAGCATCGCGTGCCCACGATCCTGGTTCAATTGTCCCGTCTTCTTTGAATAGTGGAGGACCAGTTCTTCATGGAGAGCAAGATGCCCCGTGATAATCGGAGGGCAGTTGGCCGCGTGTTCACGGAGGGGCACGTGGAGAGTGTTCCCCAACGGCTATGAGTTTTGGACCATATTATTGGGCCTTCTTTACAGGAGCGTCGAACTGGGCCACGCCCCTTAATGGGTCAAACGCAGGTTCAATCTAGAACAAGAGTCCCTCAAGTCGTTGCTCTTAAGTAGGAGTTATGATTTATAGGGTGGCTCCCGCGTCGAGGAAGTAGTAATTTGGAGGAAGCTCGCACATCGAGAAGGGGATGAACAATCACTCTTCGTAGGCATGTTTATTTGCGACTTCTCTTTTGGTTCCCCGACGGAGGGGCACACGAGGTACTCGCCTGGATCAAGTTTCACTTATGCTCGCCAAGCATGGGACGACGGACTTTCTTCGAATTCACACGCGAGGAGATCGTTCTCGATATCCATCTTGATGGTTGGTCATGCTCGATCGCAGTCCAGTTATATTCATGCGCGAGATATCGTCCGACATAATGTGTGAAGACGCTGTCAAGGAAGGTTGGTGTTTGTGTTCGAGTTTGGGAGGTTTAAGCTAAGAGTCACAGGGAAGCGCCCGACGGAAGAAATATGGAGAATTCGTCGCACACATTCGACGCATGGATAAGTAATCGCGAGGTTGCGTCCGCACGTTTAACCTGACATAAAGTTTGAAGAGAATGTCGATGAAGCGTGGTGCTTGCGCTCGACTTCGGGAAGTGAGAACTGACTTACAGGGAGATGTCTGGTTGGGAGAATGTGAAGAGTTGCCGCGTGGATTCGACGCGTGGGAATATGTAGCAGCGTTTTTGGAAGATCAATTGTCAAACTTTTCGATTGCCACACGTGACAGATTCAATGCGTCACATTAATAATGGCCTAGGCTCTAGGTAATGATATCTTCCTGCGCGTTTCCCCGTAGTGTAGATCTAGCTATAAAAGAGTGATATGAGACTTATTTGGGACTTTACCATTTCATTCTTCTCTTGCTGCTCTCACGTTTGCTGCTCTCCTTGCTCACTTTTTTGGTAAGTGTTCTATCCGTGTGCTAGTTTTTTGGATTTCCTTTGTGAATCTTTAATGAATGCACGAGCTTTCCGACGAACTCTATGAAGTTTCTGGGCAGTGTATGAATTTTTCGGTGAAACTTATGGGTTTTTCGATGAAGCTCATGGTTTCTTGATGAACTCATGAATTTCTGGATGAACTTCATGAATTTCTTGATGAAGTACATGAATTTCTTGATGCACGTCATGATTTTCTTGATGAAGTTCATGAATTTCTTGATGAAGTTCATGAATTTCGTGATGAAGTTCATGATGAAGCTTGACGAGGAGGCTTCTCCTCGGAGGGGGAAAGGACTCACGCCTGGTGTTCGTCGAGCGAATCCTCGCTCCCATGCGTTGAACCTTGTGTCGGACGAGTGTCTCTGAATTCTCACGATCGTCGATGAGGGCCATGATCGAGGATGCATCCCCGATCAGTTCCTCTCCCTTTCACTTGATTTCCGGTGGAAGGACCGATTTAATTTACCGTCAAATTCACCGTTTCCCCCTGTTTTTCAGGTAAGATGACCTAAAATGCTGAAGTTGACCCCCCTGTCGAGAGAGGCCCCGTCGAGGAAAGAGGGGAGAACTTGGATTGGGTAGGCCCTGAACCTTTGGGGTTTGTCTCGAAATTTACGGTTGACTCATCTGACGCGTTTAACGTTGCCGAGGTTCGTGAAAAAGGTGTCCTCGCGTCCTGGACGCCCTGACCTACTAGTCAAATCGGCTCGAGGTTACTGGGGACTCAATTATCGATGTATGAATTTGCTTTTAAGGAGGCATAAATTTGTTTGCCCTATAGCGGTCTTCAGGTGAGCATCTTTAC